AATTTTATTGATCCAACCTTCTGAAAGTTGTAATTGAGCATAGATGTTGGGCCTGTGGCTCTCCAAACTAAATTGTACTCTGAAGCCCTTGCTGGATTACTGGAAGAATCAATAAGCAGTCAGTCACGTTAACAATGAAATAGCTCCATTAACATACAGCACTATTGGTGAAACTTTATTTAGGAAGGGTGTTGCGCTCACTTCATTGTTTTATCAATGAATCTCCGTTGTCGGGGGCTAAAGTATTGCTTTTGTTTGTCTAATGAATTTGTGTTCTTCTCCTCCTACTCACTAACTATCATCCGCAAACCCAACATTATATTGCAAAGATTTCCCCCTTTTTTGGGTGTGTAACAAATAGCCCCCATTGCTTGGAATTGTGGTTCGCCCCTTGTATTGCCTTGGAAATAATTCAGGACTTTCAGTGTAAACTATACTATTAAAGTTTGCTCTAATTCCGCTTTCTCCTCTGCAGGACCATTGATTGCTCTGGGGCTGCAATTTATGTGATTTTCGGCAAGCCAATAGTGGACTGGTCGCTCGTAGATCATTTCACAGGCCTGCTGCCTCTGCACATCTATGACTTTGCCAAAGATGCTGTCCTGACCATAAGATGAGACTCCCAGTCTTGTACCATTACGGGGTCCTTTGACTTGAGGTTGGAGCAGGGGATAGAAAGGGGAGAATTGAAAGTTTCCAGTTTGTTGAATGAAGTACAGTGGTTCCTTGGTTTACAACCATAATCCGTTCCGGAGGTCCATTTGTAAAGCAAAACAGGTTGTAAACCAAGGTGCACTTTCGCCAATGGGGCCTCCAAATTTTTTTGTTCGTAATACAAAAAAGAAAAAGGGTTGTAATCCAAAAAAAGGTTGCAAACAGAGACACACACTTCTGGGTTTGGCATGTTTGTAATCCAAGACGTATGCAAACCAAGATGTATGCAAACGAAGGTACCACTGTACTTCAGCTACATTAAGTAATGATGGAAAACATACCGATTAAAATAGGGACGTCCCATTCCATAATGACCATTTTACTATTCATACCCAACACATCTTACTGGCTTTCCCCAGCCACTCTAGGCAACATACAGTGGTACCTCAGGTTAAGAACATACTTTGTTCTGGAGGTCCGTTCTTAACCTGAAACTGTTCGTAACCTGAGGTACCACTTTAGCTAATGGGGCCTCCTGCTGCCGCCGCACCGCCGGAGCACGATTTCTGTTTTCATCCTGAAGCAAAGTTCTTAACCCGAGGTACGATTTCTGGGTTAGCAGAGTCTGTAACCTGAAGCATCTGTAACCCGAGGTACCACTGTATATAAAAGGTAAAAGGTAAAGGTACCCCTGCCCGTACGGGCCAGTCTTGCCAGACTCTAGGGTTGTGCGCTCATCTCACTCTCTAGGCCTGGAGCCAGCGCTGTCCACAGACACTTCCAGGTCACGTGGCCAGCGTGACAAGCTGCATCTGGCGAGCCAGCGCAGCACACGGAACGCTGTTTACCTTCCCACTAGTAAGCGGTCCCTATTTATCTACTTGCACCCGGGGGTGCTTTCGAACTGCTAGGTTGGCAGGCGCTGGGACCGAACAACGGGAGCGCACCCCACCGCGGGGATTTGAACCGCCAACCTTTCGATCGGCAAGTCCTAGGCGCTGAGGCTTTTACCCACAGCGCCACCCACGTCCCTACCACTGTATATAAAAACATAATAAAACATTAAATATTTTTTTAAAACACTTCCCGATACAGGATTACGTTCAGGCGCCTCGGGGGTCAGATAACTCCATATCCTTCAACATTTCTCCAATGAAAATAGAGACATCCTAAGCAAAAACGGGGATGCAGGTGGCGCTATGGGTTAAACCACAGAGCCTAGGACTTGCCGATCCGAAGGTCGGCGGTTCAAGTCCTTGCGACGGGGTGAGCTCCCGTTGCTCGGTCCCAGTTCCTGCCAACCTAGCAGTTCAGAAGCACACCAGCGCAAGTAGATAAATAGGTACTGCTCTGGCGGGAAGGTAAACGGCGTTTCCGCGCGCTGCTCTGGTTCGCCAGAAGCAGCTTAGTCATGCTGGCCACATGACCCGGAAGCTGTATGCTGTCTCCCTCAGCCAATAAAGCGAGATGAGTGCCGCAACCCCAGAGTTGGCCACGACTGGACCTAATGGTCAGGGGTCCCTTTACCTTTAAGCAAAAGCGGGACATTCCGGGATGATATCAGAAACTGGGGCACCTACAGGGATGTTCCTGGAAAATAGGGACACATGGAGGGTCTGGGATAACCTGCAGCACATCTGCCTGGGGTTAGTGGCATCCCTGGGCAAGAAAAGCAAGGTCTGTGAGCCAGGCTATGCACAGAGTCACATCTACATTCCTGTTTACCTTTCCTGTACTGTGCAACAGGAACATTGGAAGCTCCTAATACACAGCCAAACTGTTGATTCATCAAGGGGCTGTGTGTTCTACAGAATCATCTACACTGACAGACATTAGCCCGGCCTCAGGCATGATACGTCGTATCCACTCACCTCATCTCCCCCAGGTTCCTTAGATTTCAGTGTATATTGCTGACATAGTTTCAAGAATCTTGTCACACTCATAAGGACTAGAAACTCGTTTTTTTAAAAAAAAATACAAGCTCAGATTTCTCTGGAAGTGTATGTGTGCACCCTTACATTCTGTGCCCTTTCTGCACTGTGGAATTATGGCATGCAGAAAGCGCTCAGCAGATTGAACTAAACCCAGCAAAGTACTTCCTTGTGAATTCTGTGGGATGTGATATGTAAGTAGCAGTCAAGTACAACATTCCTTGTTTTCCTAGAGTGGACATGCGGGGGAATGTTTGGTCCAGCCAGTCAAAAACTTCCTGTTTCCTCCTGGCTGGGACATACTTCCTTTGCATGTAACTAGAGGTGGGTGTGACCTTACCTGTCCAGGTTACAAAAGGGACAAGGCATGCAGCACTCTCTCTCTTTTTGACTTCCTCCGTCACTGGAACAGCTTTTCGCTAGAGATGCTCTGTTGGCTTCCAGCTAACAGAGGACACTGGGATTATCCCCATATGGGATAGCTCCACATGTATATACTTTGTAACTAAGTCTGCCTTCAGGGATCCATCTGTGAACTGAATGTGAGTACAGTGGTGCCTCGCAAGACAAAAATAATTCGTTCTGCGACTTTTTTCGTCTTGCGAATTTTTCGTCTTGCGAAGCACGGTTTTAACGGTATTAACGGTTTTAAGAAAAAGGAAACAAACTTGCAAGACGTTTTCATCTTGCGAAGCAAGCCCATAGGGAAATTCGTCTTGCGAAGCAACTCAAAAAACAAAAAACTCTTTCGTCTTGCGAGTTTTACGTCTTGCGAGGCATTCGTCTTGCGAGGTACCACTGTAAACTACTTTTATATACTTTACACAAGATTGTGGTGTGTTTATTCTTTTAAGAGGGATATAAGGGAACTTACTAGGAACCTAATAGTGAGAGGCTTACAAAAGCCTGCAACTAGCTACCTGCTGTGCGTTTAAAAGGGGAATGTTAAATTCTGCTAAGTAAAGGAACATGTTAGCGCAAGTTAGGAAGGATATTAATAAACAATATATCCTCTCCTGCCTCCCTGAACATTCCCACAAATTCATGAGACTTCCACACCCAGAGTGTGAAGTTTTTAGGTCATTTCTAAAAGGAACTGTAACCAAATGGAGTGGGGGAGGTGGAAACGAACCAAAAAAAGAAAAGAAAAGAAAAGCTTTTATTGGGAGCCCTTTTACACTAAAAACAATTAAGTTTTGAGATCCATTTAATTTTTACTTGTTTTAAGCACCGTCATAAACATCTGCCATCTGGTGCAAAAATTGCTTCATATGGCAGGTGGAGATTTATTTTAAAGTTCTTTGTCTTTCATACTTTTCCCGGCTGCATTTTCCATCAGGATAATTTCAACTTGCAGGTATTTAAATAGCCATTATTCGCTATGATGGAAGAGGCACAGTTAAAAGGATACACTCTGGATAACTGCTTTCATTTCACCATCAGAACATGTTGCTTTCAGTAATGGTGTGAAGCAGGTATCTGTGGTTTCCTGGCCTTCCGCCTCCAACTACGCCCGGGGTTCTGATCTTTAAAAGCCACAGTAAAACTGCAGTGACAAGTGGTGTCGTGGAAACCTTTTGTTCCAACCCACTGTCGTCCAGATTATAGCACATCATGAAAAGAAAACAGGAGCAAAACTGAGCGATCTGCAGATCAATGGGGAATTTGTAAGATGATAATATTTTTGATTGCCCATTTTGGTAGAAATGCTTAATGGGCTTCTCCCTCCGATCAACAGGACATAGCTCAAATACAAACAAGTCACGGAGCAAGATCTAAGCCTTGGTTTTGTTAGTTACTGGGACATAAATGGATAGTGTGCACTTGGAGGCTTTTTAATGTGAGCTAATCCCAAGCATAGGGACGTGGGTGGAGCTGTGGGTTAAACCACAGATCCTAGGACTTGCCGATCAGAAGGTCAGCGGTTCGAACCCCGCGACAGGGTGAGCTCCCGTCACTCGATCCCTGCTCCTGCCAACCTAGCAGTTTGAAAGCACGTCAAAGTGCAAGTAGATAAATAGGTACCGCTCCAGCGGGAAGGTAAACGGCATTTCCGTGCACTGCTCTGGTTCGCCAGAAGCGGCTTAGTCATGCTGGCCACATGACCCGGAAGCTGTACGCTGGCTGTCTCAGCCAATAAAGCGAGATGAGCGCCGCAACCCCAGAGTCGGCCACAACTAGACCTAACGGTCATGGGTCCCTTTACCTTTACCTTTTTAATCCCTAGCATGTTCTGCAAGACCTTCGCTGTGTTACATCTCCAGACTCTTTTCCAGTATCTGGTGGGCTAATGATGCAACAAAGCAACACTTGTTAAGCCCAGCATCAGTGACTGCCTTTGGGCAAGCTGCTAGAAATCCTCAAATCAGTTCCACTGCCATTTAAATTTCCCACAATTCTCCCAGTGACATGACAATGCTGAGTGACATGGACATGCTGAGCAGGGCCATCCTGTCCATGTCAGAGGAGCATGACGGTCAGTAATCACACAGCTAACTCTTTGTTAGCAAAATCATGATCCCCACAGATTTGGTTGAGTGATCCTCACAGACTTGGCTGAGGCCTAATGAGCAGTTCATTTCTGGTGGTCTTACTCCATGAAAATCAGTTGCCAAGACTGAAAGTCCCCACTTCCTCACAGCTGCCTAAGTCCTCTACTCTCCAGGGCTTTTCCCAAGCAATCGGAGATCGGGCCTGCATGCAGCTAACCTCTCCTCTACGCTTTCATGCCTCTTCTGGTTCTGGGAGACCAGGGGGCAGGAAGCGTTTCTTGAAGTACTTCTAGCAGTATAACAGACATAGGGGGTCACCACACCTGTCTTAACTGGTTTGGGATTCTTCTCTTCCTAGAAGAATACTCCCATCCTGACTGAAATGAGACCCAACCCACAGCTCTACTTCTCACTCAAACTCAGCCCTCCAGTTAACCTCTTCTTGAATACTCTCACAAGACACTAAAAACTGTTTTCCTATCTAAGCTAAGAGACTCCTTTCCCTAGCTTTAGATATTTCCCTCAGAGTGGATGCTATACACACAGATCAGAACCAGTGCTCTCTCTTTTCCCCAAGCCCTCCCTCCTCAAAGCTTTCTTAAACCATCTCTTCAACTATCTCCCCAAAACTATCTCCTAAACCAGGTATCCCCAACCTTCAGCCCTCCAGATGTTTTGGACTACAATTCCCATCATCCCGGACCACTGGTCCTGTTAGCTAGGGACTGTGGGAGTTATAGGCCAAAACATCTGGAGGGCCGCAGGTTGAGGATGCCTGTCCTAAACCATCTGAGCACTCTCTTAGAAACTGCTCCTTTTATCCCTCCCCCAAAGTGCTGTCTTCACCCCTTTCTGGCTTGGTAGCCAATGAGAGAGCAGCTCCAGCACTCTGGTGGAATTCCAAGGTACTGCATCACCAGACTCTGGTCCATCACAGCATCACTCAGCAGGTAGAGGCCAGAGGCAGTCAGCTGGGCAGAGGGTTTATCTGTTGGTTTCTATTTCCCTCACTGAGCAGCAACTGCAGTCACAAGACATTGTTTTGCATTCCACAGTCAGAGTTACTGTTGGATTCCCACGGGAATGGGAGACTGGATGTGACGTACACTGGTTTCCTGTTTTTCACTGTTCTCTCGGTTTCTTTATTAGAGAGACAGTTGCTTCTCTGCTCTCACAGAGGCAAGATGCATGTTTGTATTCTCTCAGCATAGAGTGGAAATAAAGTTAAGAATGTGGCACATACTGCTTATCCTTCTGCTGTGTGGACTACTCTGTTTGGGCTCAAGATGAGACGAGCCTGTATCAGCTTCAGATGGGCTGAAGCTGGTCAAAATCTCACATTATCTCCACCCAAGTCAACCCCAGCCCAGCCTGACCTGGCACAGAGTGGGTTTAGATTGCACCCTTAGTCTGTCTCTTTCTTGCAGGTTTGGTATCGGAGCTGCTGATTGAGGAAGTTGAAAGGAAGATTTTCCAGTCCCCTTTAATAACCTTATTCAGGAAATCAGCCAGAATTTCCCTTTCAATCAAGGCAATAGACTTGTCGGGATAATATATTGTGCACGTGAATTCCTTTGGCTGAGTAAAGCTGCATGAAGAAGCTGCTCTAATTTGCACTGTTTTTGTTGCCCTTTGATTTGGAGTGACCATGCTCTCCAAGGCGGGAGTCAAAGGAAGGGGATGATGGGGGGAAGAGAGGGAAGCTGATTAGTTTTCACTGTGCCTTTTATGCATCTGAATACCTTAATCAAGTCCCTTCTAACTTTTCTTCAGTTGGGTTTTGCTGTCTCTCAACATGCTTTATGTGACATGAATAAAGTACAAATTGCAACACAATCTTGGCACTTATGCATTCTCTTTTTTTTCTCCCCCTGGGGAAAAAAAATACAAATAAAATCATCCCCTTCGCCTTCACTTGCATTCCTTTTGTGTTTGTTTTCAGCACTGATTCCCGTGATTGTGTTTACTGGCATTGAATGTCGAAGCAAAAAAGTGGAGGAATATTCTCAGAAAGCAAATGGGAATTTGTTAATGTGAGTATTCGTGAGGGTCTGGAGAGAACCCAACAGCAACCTTGACTCTTGCATTTCCATCCACTCATCGAATCACGGACAAGGAACATTCGCATAACCTTGCAAATCAGAAAAAGCAGCTTGAGCTTCTTCAATCAAACCTGTAAAGATTGCAGATATACAATACAGCTCGTTCCATCTAGTGGGGCTTCCTGGGGTAATAGGTACTTCTGCCTCTTGTGCTTAAGACCTGGCATGTGACTCAGTTTATCTGATTTATTTCTTTAACATATACTGTGCCACCCCATCTGAATCCTGGCAAGATGGAGGCATAGTGGGTGGGTGGGTCTCAAGCCTGGATAACTAGTCAATTACCTGCTTTGGGTATACTTCCTCTAAAAGGGCTGGTTCATAATCTGGGGGTGTTCCTGAATCAATCTTTGGCACTAGAGGCCCAGATGACCTCAGTGGCTAGGAATGTCTTCAGCTGGACAAGGATAGTCTGACCACTGTTGCCCATTCACTGGTAACAATAATAATCCTCATCCATTTGTCGTGACAGTTTATTCTATCACGTAGTTTGCCACCCTTCACAAAGCATCTTCCAGAAGCCCCTTGAGGCATTGTAACCTCTTGTGTCACATGATGCTGGAGAGAAGCAGAAAGAAAGAAAGAAAGAAAGAAAGAAAGAAAGAAAGAAAGAAAGAATTCTGCATTTATGCCATAATCTTGCGGGTGCATGAAATGCGCCCAGAGCGATGGCATTCTTAATGTGCGCTTATGCTAATCTGCCAAACCATCAGTATATGTTGTTTTATAAATAGTTACCTTTGAAATGGAGCATTGTTTAAAGCCAGATGGTTGGCTTGAAGATTCATTCTTCATTTTTTGCTTCTGTGGTGAATATGCAGATTTACAAGTTGCTTTCTATTTTCCCACAGCTCCATCTAATATTTACATTCAGATAATGCTGATAAGGGGGCTGGAGAGGCCAGACGTTAAAGAGAAAAGAAAAGAATGTAATATAGGGCATAGTGTTTGCTTCAGAAGTGAGCGTGTGAGGCAATAAAGGTGTACTAATGGGGTGTTAATCTTGTGTTCCTCCCTCCCTCTACTTTTCCTGTTACATGAAAGCCACTGTGATTAGAATAGGGGTGAAATGAACATAAGTATGATAAATGATAACTTTCTCATGGGAGTAAATATATGAGAGAGAGAGAGAGAGAAAGCTTTGCTAATCAAGCTGGGCAGAGAGGGCGAACATACTCTGAGAACACCCATCTGGAAATGAGTCTAGATTCAGAAACAGTTCGTTGAAGTTGCTACTGTAAATGGAGAACAAAGAGTACCACAATGTGAACTGGTTGGATCGCAGGAGCAAAAGGAGCTTCAGAGACCATGATTTGTTTTTATTTATTTTTTAAATGATGGTACAAATGGATTTGACTAGGAATGGTGGTCGAATCTTACATCCCGCCTTATTTCCAGAAATGGAACTCAAGGCGGCTAACGAAGCAGCAGTCATGAAACAATGGAAAACAGTGAATTGCACTTCATTTCAAACGACAACAGAAGACCCGGGTGTTAACATGTTAAACCAATGATGGGGGCAGTTAAAATGTACATGGAAAGGGGTTTGAAGAGCCAAGTTTCTCCGAACTGTCTGAAATGTCTATCTATCGTCTATCATCTATCTATCATCTATCTATCTATCTATCTATCTATCTATCTATCTATCTATCTATCATCTATCTATCTATCTATCTATCTATCTACCATCTATCTATCTATCTCTGTCTCTCCCTCTCCCCCTCTTTCCCCCTCCTTCTGGACTGTTTGTTTTGATGTGCTTACCCTGCCTTTCCACTCCAGAACCAAGTGCCCAAGGTGGCTAAAGGATAACCTTCACTGTTTCTGGTTAAACTCTGTTTCACGCTCGTGCCTTTATTTGTGTATTTATAAATCTAATGCTTTTAATTTTCACTTGTAAATCATCCAGGGAACTTGCCGGGCAGCATATAAATATTTTCAATGCAATGAAACCGAGATCGGAATGCCAGCGTTCACCATCCTAAGTTCTGTGGAATGTCCTTAAGAACAAGAATACAGATCACCATTACTGCGTACATGCTCCCAAGCACAGAGATCCATTACACCTAAATATTGCGACACTGTCTTCGGGCTTTGTGTATTACAGCCAGGGAGAGCATCTGTCCTGTGCCTGGTGATTACATCATGCCGTAAGATACTTAGTCAAAGGGAGTGCAATCTGGCAGCTCACAGCTCCACATTAGAGTAGTTTATATGATAGCAGTCAAAGTCAATTGGTGTATTGTTTGACCTCTCCTCCTCGCCAAAGCAATATGGTGCCATCTGCGCATCTTGTATTCACATCATATTATGCATTAATACGGCTTTTTCGATGCACAGTTTGCTTTGTGCTTTGGTGTATAAATATTTTAATATTTGCATTCGGTTGGATCGCATTCCCCAAAGTATACTCGGAAAAATAAAACCACTAGGATGCTACATACCTTCATTCTGTAAAGCAGAGCAGCAGACTTAAGTCTTTATTTCTTCACTCTATTAAGAAACAACAGCAGCCTCTGAGAAGGTGGATTTAGCTTCCTGGTAAGATCGCTGATGGCTCAGGTTTAGCAAGGTTTCATTTTACTTCTCTTGCAGCAGATGTCTTGCAAGGAGCTGGGCTTGTTCAGGTTTTGCAAAGCTCTTGTCAATGAGCATACACTTGTTGTTGTTTAGTCGTTTAGTCGTGTCCGACTCTTCGTGGCCCCATGGACCAGAGCATGCCAGGCATTCATGTCTTCCACTGCCTCCTACAGTTTGGTCAAACTCATGCTGTTAGCTTCGAGAACACTGTCCAACCATCTCGTCCTCTGTCGTCCCCTTCTCCTTGTGCGCTCAATCTTTCCCAACATCAGGGTCTTTTCCAGGGAATCTTCTCTTCTCATGAGGTGGCCAAAGTATTGGAGCCTCAGCTGCAGGATCTGTCCTTCCAGTGAGCACTCAGGGCTGATTTCCTTCAGAATGGAGAGGTTTGATCTTCTTGCAGTCCATGGGACTCTCAAGAGTCTCCTCCAGCACCATAATTCAAAAGCATCAATTCTTCGGCAATCAGACTTCTTTATGGTCCAGCTTTCACTTCCATACATCACTACTGGGAAAACCATAGCTTTAACTATACGGACCTTTGTTGGCAAGGTGATGTCTCTACTTTTTAAGATGCTGGAGCATACACTAGCATACACTAGAACTATCATATTGCAATGGACTTTAGATATAGGAGCTGCAGCTCTCAAACTAGGTTTGTTTCATTGCCAATAACATTATTTAGGTTCTAAAGTTTGAGAAGTCCCAGCGGTGGAATAGGGCTTTGGTACTGCAGCAGGACAAGCTAAGGCAAAGCCTCATTCTTAAAATTGCCATTGGTCTTTAAACTGATCATCAGGGTACCAGTTGTGGATAAGAAGGAGGGTACGAATACTGAGCAGTGACGAAGCCTCGTGGAAGGCATCTTCCATATGCTCCAAATGTTTGCCAGGGACATGCCATAGTTTTTGTGCCTATCTGTGTCCCTAGCTTGCTCCTGGGTTGATAGATAGAGGTGCCTTTTAAAAAGCCTTTCAGCATGTGCACACCAAGGGTGTGGAACCTGGATGTAGCCAGCACATCTGCAGCTGTGGCAGGATCTGTCCGCTCTAGGAAAGGTTACAGCTGGCACACCAGCCAAAGCTGTGCAAACATTACTCTGGCCCAGAGGAAGCAGGTCTAATAGGTCAAGTACAATACTGCCCCACCAGTCTTCATCTCTCTGAGTCAGGGAGTGGCTCTGCCTGTGATTGACTCTGACTCCACCAATGAGTACCAGCCACCACTTATGGAGCCACAGCAGCCACATGCCTATCCAGGAGCAATGCAGGGGCCAAGGTACACTGCCACGCCAGGGAGGTCCTCAATAAGGAGGATTTTATCTCAATCTGGAGCAGACAGAATACCTGCTTAGGACCGTAGCTCAGTGGTTAAAGTTTCTGCCTTGCATGCAGAAAGCCTGAACTTCAATCCCTGGGATCTCCAGGTAAGACTGTGAAACACTGAGACCCTGGAAAGCCACTGCCAGGCAGTAGACAATACAAAGCTATATGGACCAGTGATCTGACTCAGTATAAGGTAGCTTCCTATGTTCCGTCCAAGTTCCTTCATCCTTTGTGTTTTAAAAAACTTCCCTTGAGACTCTGACATTCTCAAACTTACCTCCCTGCGCTGCCTTCTCCATCCATTCCCCGTCCCCTGTAGCTGCCATGAATGTGAGATTGCCCCTGCAAATCAGAAAATCAATCAGAAAAAAAGGATAGCTATCAACAAATCTGAGCTAACTGTACGGATGGCAGCATAACACCACGCAATGCCTACTCAAATAGTGGGTAAGTGAGCATTTTTAGCTGCCCCCCACATGAAATAATTCAGCGTCTCTGCTTCACACCAGGGCCATGTTTTATTCCAGCGTCGCAGCATTCATTCAATTTGTCTTTCCACAGATCAAGTGGGAAAATGAAACTTCTTCGAGTCATGGCTGAGATAGGATTCAGCTAAATGAGGTTAGCAGAAAGTGCTCTCCTGGCAGAGGAAGGAGAAAGGGGAACAGAAACGTCCACAAATCAAATTGTAACAGATAAAAATAAAAATAAAAAATAAGTAAAGTAACCCCAAACTCGCACCCACCCATTCGCTTTACACGGTTGTAAGTGTCTAACTGGTTTCGGTTTGTAAAAAAAAAGAAAGAAACAGGAGCAGCTGAAACGAAAGGGGCTGTTTATGGAACCTTTAGATATTTTGTTGAAGTTTCGCTTCTTTACTTTTATGGCCAGTAGCAAAAAGATAAATAAAAAAAGAAATAAAAATAAATTTGATCTTCTCTCCTTTTTAGATGCTCTACAACTTTGGCAATTTCCCCCCTCCCCCCTCTCTCTCCCAGGTACTGTAGTTTGAACCTTTAAAAAAAAGAAGGGAGGGGGAGAGGGGAAAAAAAATACCTTCAGAAACTGCGAGCCCTTTCATTTTTCTGTTTGAAAAGATCTATCTGAGTCATTGGTAAGAGGAAGGATTAGACAGACGACTCTTTCTAGCTTTTCATTTTAACTTTATCTAATAGATGCCTTTCCGCTATGCAGTGACTCGGGTCACTTTTTAAGAATGGCTTTAATTTTTGTAGCAAAGGGGAAGATAGCATCAGTTATCCCTGATAAAAGGAATTAATATATGAACCCTGCTGTATAGAAAATGAAATAAAAAAATAAGGGGGGAAAAATCAAATCGAGGCATTTAAGAGAAGCTTTTTATTCCTGCAAGGAAAGCATTTGCTAGCCACCCCTGCCCCCACCCTGAACCACCACAAGATCCATTAAAAGTATTTATGGATAATAAATAGCTCCTAAGGAAACATCAGTAGATTGTTGGGAGAGGTGGCTGTGCAGGGGACAACCACGTTGACCAGGGATGGGGAGCCTATGGCCCTTCCAGATGTTGCTGGATTGCAACTCCTGTCACCCCTGAACTTTGGCTAAACTGACTGGGATTAATGGTGGTCCAAGAACATCTCAAGGACACCAGGCTGAGGAAGTCTGGCTTGGTGGAATGAATGCTTTTATGCATTTCAGGCTTTCTTCATTTCAGGGATTGGGGAACCTTTGGCTATCCAGTTCCTGATGGACTGCAAATCCCACCATCCTTGATCACTGGCCATGCTGGTTGCGGACCACAGCTGGCACCAGGTTCTCACCCCTGTTGCAGACCATGCTGATTTCAGTGGGCTTTTGGGGGGAGAGGAGGTATACAATCATAGAATTGTAGAGTTGGAAGGGACCCCGAGGGTCATCTAATCCAACCCCCTGCAATGCAGGAATCTCAGCTAAAGCATCCATGACAGATGGCCACCCAACCTCTGCTTACAAACCTCAAAGGAAGTTCACAACCCCCTGAAGGAGACCGTTCCACTGTTGAACAGCTCTTACTGTCAGAAAGATTTTCCTGATGTTTAGTCCACATCTCCTTTGTTGTAACTTGGTTTGATTCAGACCAGACACTCTTAATGTACTTTCCCCCCTTTCCATAAACTCTCACTGGGCTTGCCACCATTACTCCCAGATGTTCACTCACCAAGGTGAGCAAAGCAAGAGGCATCAGCTCATAACTGCAATCGCTACCAGTCACTTGTCCATGCTTTCTTGGCCAGAGAGTGGGTGAGCAGCAGGTGGCAGCTAGGGGTGCCTGAGGAACTTGGCCTTCACAAATTCCAGTGCGGACTGATCTGATCCACACTAGCTAGACTAGTGCAGCTCAGAACACAGGACCCCACCAGCTTTCTCACTTCTCGAGTGTTCAAGAGGCAGTTCTTGGCTCAAAGCAAAATGAAAACATATCAAAGTACATTTAGAGATGCATAGTTTGAGAGAGAACACATTTGGAAATGTATGTTTAAAATGTGAATTTTCACACTTTTTTAAAAAAAATACAGGTTAATGAAACTGGAACAGAAATGACTTAAGGGTCAACATGTGCAAAAATTACTCAGTCTGGGAATAAAAATGTTATGCCCATTCCTGGTGGTCAAAAGCTGCAGCAGAGCCAGGGGCCTCATGGTGGTTGCCCCCAGGTGGGGAATGAGACTCAGCAGGTGCCCAACCATTCTAACCCCTGATGCTCGCCTTAAATAGATGGGAAAGGTCTAGTGGTGGATGACACATTCTGGTTGGGGCAGATGGGAGCTGGACTCCAACAGCACTTAGGCAGCCTTCCACCCCCTCATAGACCTGAAATGTACCAACCAGATTTTCTCTGGGGAGATGCTTCTTATTCTCTTTCTGCACCCCCAGATTGGCTCATCCAGGTGAAAACTGGATTGGAAGGGTCCAGTCCAGGGCTCAGAGAAACCTTCCCAAACCTGATGCTCTTCAAATGTTGTTGGTACGCAACGTTTGTGTCTGCTTGTGTTGCTGCAGATGCACCATAGCATTTCTTCTCTCTGCACTCCTTCCAGCAATCATTCCTCCTCTGGTCACCGCTGTGGATATACCACCTGACTGTGTGTCTCCAGGCACTGTGGTTGTCTGCAAGGGATTCTCACAAGGCAGGGCTGAGGTTGCCAGCCTCCATGTCACATTTATAGATACCTTTGTAGCGCAGAGTTGGTCTGCCAACAGGCTGGGGCCTGCAGCCGGCTCCCTAAAGAGCACATCCTTGGAGATCCTGCCATCTTCCATTCTGTGGACATGACCAAGCCAGCGTAGATATTGCTGAGCCTGGAGTGTGACCATACTGGAAATGTGGGCTTGGGAGAGCACATCCTTGTTTGAGACTCTGTCCTACTATGAGAGGCCCCACATCTTCCTGACGCAGCAAATGTGGTGGCATTGAGGCATCACTTCTGATGGTTGTAAGTTGCCCATGACTCACTTTCCTACAGCAGCGAGCACAACATGCAAATCTGGTAGACCTTCATCCTGGTATTGGTCATTAGCACCATATTCTCCCACATCCTTTCGGAGAGGCGAGCCATTGCTATAGCTGTCTTGCTAATGTTTTCTCCTAAGAGACTAGATACTCACAGGAAAGCCCCATACTCACTGTCTTATTAGGCTCATCTCACTTTGATGTAAACTAGGGATGCAGAGCCTGTAGTCTTCCAGATGTTGTTGGACCACAGCTCCCATCAGCCCCATCCTGCATGGCCAATGATCATGGATTAGGAGAGTTGTAGTCCAGCAAGATCTGGAGAGCTATGGGTTCCCCACCCCAAGTGTAAGCAAATCCTTATTTAGGGCTTGATATGGCAATAAGTTTGCCAAGTGGTTATTTCTCCTGAGACATTTGAATACAAAAGAAAAAGAAAAATAGAATTGTTGTTGTTGTTTAGTCGTTTAGTTGTGTCCGACTCTTCATGACCCCATGGACCAGAGCACACCAGGCATTCCTGTCTTTCACTGCCTATCGCAGTTTTGTCAAACTCATGTTAGTAGCTTCGAGAACACTGTCCAACCAACTCATCCTCTGTCGTCCCCTTCTCCTTATGCCCTCAATCTTTCCCAACATCAGGGTCTTTTCCAGGGAATCTTCTTTTCTCATGAGGGGGCCAAAGTATTGGAGCCTCAGCTTCAGGATCTGTGCTTCCAGTGAGCACTCAGGGCTGATTTCCTTCAGAATGGATAGGTTTGAACTTCTTGCAGTCCATGGGACTCTCAAGAGTCTCCTCCAGCACCACAATTCAAAAGCATCAATTCTTCAGCGATCAGCCTTCTTTATGGCCCAGCTCTCACTTCCAAAAATAGAATTATATTTTAAAATAATTTTTAGTCACCAATAAATTTCTGAGATTTGGTCAGTTTATCCTAAAACTATTGGTTCCTCTACAGCCTGCTACATTCTAAAATCCACTTATGCCTTCTCTCTCTCCCTCTCTCTCTCTCTCTCGGGAAAAACAGTGAAAACAATTAAGATTATGTCAGTGCTGAAGATAATAAAAGAGTCTTAGGTCTGCCTTCTGCTTTTCACCTGCCTTTCAAAGATGATCGGGTCAAGGGAGTTAATGGCTAATATTTGACTTTGAGGTAATTCTGCAGAAAGAACTTAACGCGATGCTACGACCGCCGCCTGCATTTCCTTGGTATCACTTTGAGCAGTATTTCAAAGTACTTCACAGGTCAGACACAACTGGGAGATAGATAGCTTAAGAGGCAAAAAGCAGACTATTTGGTATTAGCCTGTGACCCAGCTGATTTGACAATTAGGTCCATTCTAAACATAGATGATTTATCAATGGTCTGCTTACCGGAGGAGGAATATATATATATATACATATATCTGTGCACTCGCTGGTAGCTGAGCTGAAGAAATAAAACACAAGAAGCTGCTTCTAATTTAAATGAGGTTGCTAATGGTATTATAAAGAATCTGCTTGCAAGCGTGGAGGGAAATTTTAGAGTCTGTTCACACACAATATTATTCCTTTTGTTGAGCAGGGATAATGTACACTGTGATATAAGGGTGGGTAAATCTATTAATTTCAGTTTCAGATCCTCATTTTTCCTAACTTAATTCCTACATCAGTTTACAATTAAAAAAAATCCTCATGAAAATTCATCAACATTTTTGTGTGAATTTCACCTAACAACAACTTCTTCTTCTTCTTCTTCTTCTTCTTCTTCTTCTTCTTCTTCTTCTTCTTCTTCTTCTTTACACCTTTTTGCATGTAGTTTTAGATGATATGGACATATTTCCCTTACAATACATTCTGTATGCTTTGTGATTTTTTTTTTCATGAACGCTTTATCCCAGTATATATTTGTCTTGTTGTGAACCACTCTGAGACCTCTGAGTATAGGGAGGTGTCTAAAGTGAATT